TATGTATGTGTGTATGTGTGTAATTGCCTGACATATCTGTGTGACTGTGTGAAATTTATGCGTGCACATGTGTGTGATTGCCTGAAATATCTGTGTTACTGCCTGAAAGATTTGTCTGCTCATTTGTGTTTTTGCCTGAAAGATTTGTATGCACATTTGTGTGACTGCTTGAATAATTTGTGTCCCTGTCTAAATGAATTTTTTGTTCACATATGAATGACTAAAGGATTTGTGCGAATGATTTGAGGGCATATCTGTGTGACGTTCTAAATGATTTTGTGCACATTTGTGTGAATGATTCGAGTGCATATTTATAAGACTGTCTAAATTATTTGAGTGCACATTTAGATAGTTGTCTAAATGCTTTGCGTGCACATTTGTGTGACCGTATGAATAATTTATGTGCAGTTTGTTTAATTGTGGGCACATGAGTGTGATTGTCTGCGTGTAATCGACTCTCAGATCAAGTCACAGGTCAACAAACAACAGCAGACAATCAAACAATGATGTTTTATCAAACAAGCATATCTCAAAGAAAAACAACAACAACAGTATTTCATTGAAAAAAATAGTTTGTGCGAGGGAAACAACAAATACTGGACCACATCAAATAAACAGGATGCGCGAGCACGCACATACACAAGCATGAAGCTCACACACACACACACACACACACACACACACACACACATCCACACGCTCACACCACACACAAGCAGCAGACTGCCCTTGACCGCCCCTGGGCGCACACACACACACACAACCACACACACACACACACCGCACACAGACAGAACTGCCTTTGACCGCCCCTGGGCGCACTCACACACATATACACACACACATCCACACACAGACAGAACTGCCTTTGACCGCCCCTGGGCACACATACATCCAGTGCCGGATATTGTTACAGTGTTGTATTAATTCTAACGACAGGATCTGGTTGCAGACATTTATGGCAGCTGGAGCCGACTGCATATTTGAACAGATTTACCGGACTTGGATGGGCGATGCGATCTTTGTCGCACTGACCCCCTTTACTTTCGACACCATTTCTTGATAATTTTTTAGAATGGTTTGAGATGGTAGTTTAGGTCAAATAAACAATATCCATGGAATGATAGGGATTGGAACTCAAGACAGTAGGATTGGGGAGGCAAGCACACTAGCCTGTGGGCCACAATATATGCTCTAGAAGTCATTGTGGTGAATTATTGTTGGTGGTTGTCACAGATCAGGCGAGTCCCCGCAACCAGTCAGTGCCTTTTTGGATCTGTACTTCTACACCTGGATGTAGCTGAAACCCCAGGCTTTTTGTGTTTCCACATTTACACCTGGATGTAGCTGAAACCCCAGGCTTTTTGTATCTGCACTTCTACACCTGGATGTAGCTGAAACCCCAGGCCTTTTGTATCTGCACTTCTACACCTGGATGTAGCTGAAACCCCAGGCTTTTTGTGTTTCCACATTTACACCTGGATGTAGCTGAAACCCCAGGCTTTTTGTATCTGCACTTCTACACCTGGATGTAGCTGAAACCCCAGGCTTTTTGTGTTTGCACATTTACACCTGGATGTAGCAGAAACCCCAGGCTTTTTGTGTTTGCACTTCTACACCTGGATGTAGCTGAAACCCCAGGCTTTTTGTGTTTCCACATTTACACCTGGATGTAGCTGAAACCCCAGGCTTTTTGTGTTTCCACATTTACACCTGGATGTAACTGAAACCCCAGGCTTTTTGTGTTTGCACTTTTACACCTGGATGTAGCTGAAACCCAAGGTTTTGCTGAGCCGCAGCCTGAGCCATGGAAATGATGTGATAACTTGTTCCATATATCCTCTTCTAGCTTGAAATCAAAGCCTAAAGTAATAGAAACCTCGTTAACCTGTCCCGATTTGTTGTCTCTTCTAGCCTGAAATCATAGATACCAGGCTAATCTGTTCCGATTTGTTGTCTCTTCTAGCCTGAAATCATAGATAACAGGCTAATCTGTTCCGATTTGTTGTCTTTTCTAGCCTGAAATCATAGATACCAGGCTAATCTGTCCCGATTTGTTGTCTCTTCTAGCCTGAAATCATAGATACCAGGCTAATCTGTCCCGATTTGTTGTCTCTTCTAGCCTGAAATCATAGATACCAGGCTAATCTGTTCCGATTTGTTGTCTCTTCTAGCCTGAAATCATAGATACCAGGCTAATCTGTTCCGATTTGTTGTCTCTTCTAGCCTGAAATCAGAGATACCAGGCTAATCTGTTCCGATTTGTCTCTTCTAGTCCACGCTATTGGTCTAACTTTGCTATCGTGTCGCAGTTTTGCATAATCCTGAGTCCATTCAAGGCCACCAATACGATTTTCGGGGATATCAGAAGAAATCTCTGCAGTAGCAGTAGATTTCTGCACTAGCAATATCTGCAGTAGCAATGTCTGCAGTAGCAATGTCTGCAGTAGCAATGTCTGCAGTAGCAATGTATACAGTAGCAATGTTTGCAATAGTAATATTTGCTGTGGTAATGTCTGTAATAGTAAGGTCTTCAGTAGCAATGTCTGTAATTGTAACGTCTGCAGTGGCAATATCCTTAAAAGTATTGTCTGCTGTGTTAATGCCTGTAATAGTTATGTCTGCAGTAGCAATGTCTGTAATAGTAATGTCTCCTGTGATAATGTCTGCAATAGTAATATCTACAGTAGCAATATCTGTAAAATGAACAGTCGGCAGTGGTAACGTCTGTAAAAGTAATGTCTGTAATAGCAATGTCTGTAATAGTAATGTTTCCTGTAGCAAAGTCTGTAATAGTAATGTTTCCTGTAGAAATGTCTGTAATAGTAATGTCTGCACTAGCAATGCCTGTAAAAGCAACATCTGCAGTAGTGATGTCTGTAATAGTATTGTCTGTAATAGTAATGTCTGCAGTAGTGATGTCTGTAATAGTAATGTCTGTAATAGTAATGTCTGCAGCAGCGATGTATGTAATAGTAATGTCTGCTGTGGTAATGTCCATAAGAGCAATGTCTACAATAGCAATGTCTGTAAAAATATTGTCTGTTGTGGTAATGTCCTGCAATAGTAATGTCTGCACTAGCAATGTCTGTAACAGCAACATCTGCAGTAGTAATGTCTGTAATACTAATGTTTGGGTGAAGTAATGTCTGTAATAGTAATGCCTGCAATTGCAATGTATGTAATTGTAACGGCTGCAGTAGTAATGTCTGTAATATCGATGTCTGCAATAGCAATGTCTTAAATAGCAATGTCTGCTGTATCAATGTCTGTAATAGCACCGTCTGCAATAGTAATGTCTTTAATACAAATGGCGACAATAGTAATGTCTATAATAGCAATGTCTACAAAAGTAATCTCTGTAATACTAATGTCGGCTGTAGTAATGTCTGTAATAGTATTGTTTGCAGTAGCAATGTCTGTAATAGCACCGTCTGCAGTAGTAATGTCTGTAATACTAATGTCTGCAGTAGCAATGTCTGCAGTAGCAATGTCTGCAGTAGCAATGTCTGCAGTAGCAATGTCTGCAGTAGCAATGTCTACAGTTTTATGTATGCAGCGGCAATGTTACAGCAGTAATAATGTCCTCAATATTAATGTTTCTTTATCACAGTCTGTTGTTTATATATAATTGAACAATGTTTATCTATCACTAAACAATATTCATATATCACCTTATTGATTGATAGAGACAGTCAGCCTCTCCCCCCCCTCTCTCTCTCTCTCTCCCTCTCTCTCTCCCTCTCTCTCTCTCTCTCTCCATCTCTCAGTTTCTCTCTTCTCTATCCTCTCCTCTCACCCTCATCCTTTTCCATCTCTCTCTCTCTGTCTCTTTCTGTCTCTCTCTTCCTCTCTCTGTCTCTTTCTGTCTCTCTCTCTCCCGCTCTCTGTCTCTTTCTTTCTCTCTCCCCCTCTCTCTCTGTCTCTTTCTGTTTCTCTCTCCCCCTCTCTCTGTCTTTTTCTGTCTCTCTCTCCCTCTCTCTCTCCCTCTCTCTCCCTCTCTCTGTCTCTATCTCCCTCTCTATCTCTCTCTGTCTCTCTCTCCCTCTCTCTCCCTCTCTCTGTCTTTAACTCCCTCTCTATCTCTCTCTCCCTCTCTCTTTCTCTGTCTCTCCCCCCTCTCTCCCCCTCTCTCTCCCTCTCTCTCTGTCTCTATCTGTCTCTTTCTGTCTCTTTCCCTCTCTCTCTGTCTCTCTCTGTCTTTCTCTCTTCCTCTCTCTCTGTGTCACTGTCAGTTTCTCCCTTCTCTATCTTCTCCCCTCTTCCTCATCCTTTTCCATCTCTCTCTGTCTTTCTCTCTCCCTCTCTCTCTCTCTCTCTCTCTCTCTCTCTCTCTCTCTCTCTCTCTGTCTCACTCTGTTTCTCCCTTCTCTATCTTCTTCCCTCTTCCTCATTCTTTTCCATCTCTCTCTTTCTGTCTCTCTCTCCCTCTCTCTCTCTCTATCTCTCTCTCTCTCTCTCTCTGTCTCACTCTCAGTTTCTCCCTTCTCTATCTTCTCCCCTCTTCCTCATCCTTTTCCATCTCTCTCTGTCTTTCTCTCTGTCTCTATCTCTGTCGCTATCTCTCTCCGTATCTCTCTCTGTTTCTCTCTCTCTCTCACTTTCTCTCTCTCACTTTCTCTCTCTCTCTCTCACGTACACTCTCTCTATCTCTCTCACTCTCTCACATACTCTCTCTCTCTCACATACTCTCTCTCTCACATACTCTCTCTATCTCTCTCACTCTCTCACTATCTCTCACATTCTATCTCATACTCTCTCTCATTCTCTTTCTCACTATCTCTTACATACTCTCTCTCATTCTCTCTCTCTCTCTCTCTCTCTCTCTCTCTCTCTCTCTCTCTCTCTCTCTGACAAAGTCCACACATCTGTATACTTGGCCACCACGACACAAAGCTGCATTTTCCTTAAGCACACATGACCTCATGCGACCTTTGACCCGCACTGGGACTGACCAGGTAACACACAGTGGGTAGATTTGATCACAGCCAGATGGGCATATGTTCAAGCAGGGCTTCTCAAACCAGGGAGTCAGTCCCCCCCCCCCCCCGTCCCCCCCTCCACCCACCCACCCAAAGAGACAGGGTTTCCTAAACCTAGGGGTCAGTTCCACCCACCCAAAGAGACAGGGTTTCCTAAATCTGGGGGTCAGTTCCACCCACACAAAGAGACAGGGTTTCTTAAACCTGGGAGTCAGTTCCACCCACACAAAGAGACAGGGTTTCTTAAACCTGGGAGTCAGTTCCATCCACACAAAGAGACAGGGTTTCTTAAACCTGGGAGTCAGTTCCACCCACACAAAGAGACAGGGTTTCTTAAACCTGGGAGTCAGTTCCACCCACACAAAGAGACAGGGTTTCCTAAACCTGGGGGTCAGTTCCACCCACCCAAAGAGACAGGGTTTCCTAAACCTGGGGGTCAGTTCCACCCACACAAAGAGACAGGGTTTCTTAAACCTGGGAGTCAGTTCCACCCACACAAAGAGACAGGGTTTCTTAAACCTGGGAGTCAGTTCCACCCACACAAAGAGACAGGGTTTCTTAAACCTGGGAGTCAGTTCCACCCACACAAAGAGACAGGGTTTCTTAAACCTGGGAGTCAGTTCCACCCACACAAAGAGACAGGGTTTCCTAAACCTGGGGGTCAGTTCCACCCACACAAAGAGACAGGGTTTCCCAAACCTGGGGGTCAGTTTCACCCACACAAAGAGACAGGGTTTCCTAAACCTGGGGGTCAGTTCCACCCACACAAAGAAACAGGGTTTCCTAAACCTAGAGGGTTAGTTCCATACCCAAAAAGACAGGGCTTCTCAAACCTGAGGTCAGCTCTTCACACAAAGAAACAGGGTTTTTCAAACCAGGGGTGAGTATTCCACACAAAGAGACAGGATTTCTCCAGCCATGGGTCAGTTCTACACAAAGAGACATGGTTCCTCAAACTACGGGGTCAGTTCCCTACACAAAGAGACAGGGCTTCTCAATTCTGGGGTCAGTTCCTCACACAAAAAGACAGAGCTTCTCAAACATGGAGTCTGTTTGTCACATAAAACAAGCAGGATGACAAACATTAATAAGATTGATTGTTATAATGAATAGACTCTCTTCCGTCGATCATTCGTTAGCATCTTTTAGTATATATTTTAGTATCTCTGTCTTATATTGTTCTATACACAAGTTGAGCAATTACAGATCATTGTCACAGTCTGGGGTATTTCTAACTCTGGTTGGTGGCTGGGTGAATGTTGTCTCATCATAATGGGTCCTTGGTGAGACACATACAAGAAGCCCTGTTGGAAGCTTCGAACTAGGTTAATGTAGGCTTGGAGAAAACATCAGAATTGCATGATGACTAGAGCATGAGTTAATTGTGTTTGATACATGACATACATGAGATGGTTGACTGTGTTTGATACATGACATACATGAGATGGTTGACTGTGTTTGATGTATAAGATACAATCGATGAGTTGATTGTGTTTGATATATGAGATGCATGTGATGGTTGATTGTATTTGATATATGAGATACATGAGATAAGTTGATTGTGTTTGATACATAAGATACATGAGATGGTTGATTGTGTTTCATACTTGAGATGGTTGATTGTGTTTGATACATGAGATGAGTTGATTGTGTTTGATACATGAGATGAGTTGATTGTGTTTGATACATGAGATGAGTTGATTGTGTTTGATACATGAGATGAGTTGATTGTGTTTGATACATGAGATAAGTCGATTGTGTTTGATACATGAGATGAGTTGATTGTGTTTGATACATGAGATAAGTCGATTGTGTTTGATACATGAGATGAGTTGATTGTGTTTGATACATGAGATGAGTTGATTGTGTTTGATACATGAGATGAGTTGATTATGTTTAATACATAAGATACATGAGATGAGGTGATTGTGTTTGATACATGAGATGAGTTGATTGTGTTTGATACATGAGATACATGAGATGAGGTGATTGTGTTTGATACATAAGATATACGGGATGAGGCAGTCAATGATAATCAGGTTTAACGGGAGTCGGGAAAATCTGACGTGTGTACATAAATATATGAACATAAATGATGATTATTTATCCACATAAATTAGAAATATATGTAAGGTCGACTAGAAAAGTTAGACATAAATTTTTTAAATAAATATGTAATAATATCTTACATAAATTGTAATGATATAATACACGTATGTGTAAGGGTATGTTACAGGAATATGTAGAAGTCATTACATATATTTGTAAAAATAAATTACATAAGCATATGTTATATGACTATAAACAGATACGCATAATTACATAAGATGTAATGATATGGTAACATGTGAATGTATAAATATAAATGAATGTATGTGAAACTCTTATAAAGATATATGTATGTATAAAATACACAATATATAAGGATTAGTTAGGAACATATATCTGGTGAGGTTACATACACAGGTAGCAAATATTTGGCATACGTGTAAAGAGTGAAAAAATACACTGATAAAGATAACACGTATAAATGTGTAGGGACCATTTAGGTGAATGAATGAGAACCATTTGCAATAATATGTCAGATTGAACAAGAATATCATTCTGCCTGTTTGATTACATGGGAAGGAACTTTAGGGACAAGGGAAAATGTGAACACATGTAGAACAAAACAGAAAATGCAAATGTGTGGGGAGAATTGGTAACAGCAACAAGATCACAGGATGAGAGCAAGGCATCAAAGGATTGTTGTGTGTATAGGAGCTAGGGACAGCTCACGTTAGAGCTTCTTGTCCATACAGGAGCTAGGCTCGACTCACGGTAGAGCTTCTCGTCCATACAGTAGCTAGGCTCGACTCACGGTAGAGCTTCTCGTAGATACAGGAGCTAGAAGGGACTCACGGTAGAGCTTCTCGTAGATACAGGAGCTAGAAGGGACTCACGGTAGAGCTTCTCATCAACACAGGGGCTAGGGACAGCTCACGTAGAGCTTCTCGTCCATACAGGAGCTAGGCTGGACTCGACTCACGGTAGAGCTTCTCGTCCACACAGGAGCTAGGCTGGACTCACGGTAGAGCTTCTCGTCCACACAGGAGCTAGGCTGGACGAATGTTAGAGCTTCTTGTCCACACAGGAGCTAGGCTGGACGAACGTTAGAGCTTCTCATCCACACAGTAGCTAGGCTGGACCAACGTTAGAGCTTCTCGTCCATACAGGAGCTAGGCTCGACTCACATTAGAGCTTCTCGTCCATACAGGAGCTAGGCTGGACGAATGTTAGATCTTCTTGTCCACACAGGAGCTAGGCTCGACTCACGGTAGAGCTTCTTGTCCACACAGGAGCTAGGCTCGACTCACGGTAGAGCTTCTCGTCCATACAGGAGCTAGGCTGGACTCACGTTAGAGCTTTTCGTCCACACAGGAGCTAGGCTCGACTCACGGTAGAGCTTCTCGTCCACACAGGAGCTAGGCTGGACTCACGGTAGAGCTTCTCGTCCACACAGGAGCTAGGCTGGACGAATGTTAGAGCTTCTTGTCCACACAGGAGCTAGGCTGGACTCACGGTAGAGTTTCTCGTCCACACAGGAGCTAGGCTGGACTCACGTTAGAGCTTCTTGTCCACACAGGGAAATCGGCTGTCCACTCAGTGCTGACCTTCGTCAAGTGGGTCCTTGAGAATGTCTGTCAGATTATGCCACATCAAATTGTAATAGTCTAGTCAACAAATGTCACAAAAATGTATAACGTACGCTTAACGTATATCCTCAGTGTTGTTGAAAGGTATCAACGTTAGAGCTTCTCGTCCACACAGGAGCTAGGCTGGACCAAAGTTAGAGCTTCTCGTCCATACAGGAGCTAGACTGGACCAACGTTAGAGCTTCTCGTCCATACAAGGGCTAGACTGGACCAACGTTAGAGCTTCTCGTCCATACAGGAGCTAGACTGGACCAACGTTAGAGCTTCTCGTCCATACAGGAGCTAGGCTCGACTTACGGTAGAGCTTTTCGTCCAGACAGGAGCTAGGCTGGACCAACGTTAGAGCTTCTCGTCCATACAGGAGCTAGGCTCGACTTACGGTAGAGCTTTACGTCCAGACAGGAGCTAGGCTGGACTCACGTTAGAGCTTCTCACTTATTCAGGAGCTAGGCTGGACCAACGTTAGAGCTTCTCGTCCACACAGGAGCTAGGCTTGACGAACGTTAGAGCTTCTCGTCCACACAGGAGCTAGGCTTGACGAACGTTAGAGCTTCTCGTCCACACAGGAGCTAGGCTGGACGAACGTTAGAGCTTCTCATCCACACAGTAGCTAGGCTGGACCAACGTTAGAGCTTCTCGTACATACAGGAGCTAGGCTAGACCAACGTTAGAGCTTCTTGTCAACACAGGAGCTAGACTGGACCAACGTCAGAGCTTCTCGTCCATACAGGAGCTAGGCTGGACCAACGTTAGAGCTTCTCGTCCATACAGGAGCTAGGCTGGACCAACGTTAGAGCTTCTAGTCTATACAAGAGCTAGGCTGGACCAACGTTAGAGCTTCTCGCCCATACAGGAGCTAGGCTGGACCGACGGTAGAGCTTCTCGTCCACACAGGAGCTGCGCTGGACTCACGGTAGAGCTTTTCGTCCACATAGGAGCTAGGCTCGACTCACGTTAGAGCTTCTTGTCCACACAGGAGCTAGGCTTGACTCACGGTAGAGCTTCTCGTCGATACAGGAGCTAGGCTCGACTCACGGTAGAGCTTTTCGTCCACATAGGAGCTAGGCTGGACTCACGTTAGAGCTTCTCGTCCATACAGGAGCTAGGCTGGACTCACGTTAGAGCTTCTCGTCCATACAGGAGCTAGGCTCGACTCACGTTAGAGCTTCTCGTCCATACAGGAGCTAGACTGGACGAATGTTAGAGCTTCTCGTCCATACAGGAGCTAGGCTCGACTCACGTTAGAGCTTCTCGTCCATACAGGAGCTAGACTGGACTCACATTAGAGCTTCTCGTCCATACAGGAGCTAGACTGGACGAATGTTAGAGCTTCTTGTCCACACAGGAGCTAGGCTCGACTCACGGTAGAGCTTCTTGTCCACACAGGAGCTAGGCTCGACTCACGGTAGAGCTTCTCGTCCACACAGGAGCTAGGCTGGACGAATGTTAGAGCTTCTTGTCCACACAGGAGCTAGGCTGGACTCACGTTAGAGCTTCTTGTCCACACAGGGAAATCGTCTGTCCACTCAGTGCTGACCTTCGTCAAGTGGGTCCTTGAGAATGTCTGTCAGATTATGCCACATCAAATTGTAATAGTCTAGTCAACAAATGTCACAAAAATGTATAACATACGCTTAACGTATATCCTCAGTGTTGTTGAAAGGTATCACATATTCGGTGATAAAATGCTCCGAAAGTTGCTAGTGAAAGGTATCACATATGGATGATTTATGTTGCGAATATTGGTGACAGTTCGCATATTTGCATGATCTATGTTGCGAATACTGGTGACAGTTTGAATATTTGCACGCTGCATGTCGAAAATGTTGATGAAAGCTGTATTCATAATTGTATGCTAGAGAATATCCACCATACTGACAGGATAATCAATTCCCTCAGAAAGTAGGTTGCCCCAGTACAGCTGTGATATTGCGAGTGATGCTGTGTGTGATATTGCAAGTGATGCTGTGTGTGATATTGTGAGTGATGCTGTGTGTGATATTGTGAGTGATGCTGTGTGTGATATTGTGAGTGATGCTGTGTGTGATATTGTGAGTGATGCTGGAGGTGATATTGTGAGTGATGCTGGAGGTGATATTGTGAGTGATGCTGTGTGTGATATTGTGAGTGATGCTGGGGGTGATATTGTGAGTGATGCTGGAGGTGATATTGTGAGTGATGCTGTGTGTGATATTGTGAGTGATGCTGGGGGTGATATTGTGAGTGATGCTGGGGGTGATATTGTGAGTGATGCTGGAGGTGATATTGTGAGTGATGCTGGGGGTGATATTGTGAGTGATGCTGGGGGTGATATTGTGAGTGATGCTGTGAGTGATGCTGTGTGTGATATTGTGAGTGATGCTGTGTGTGATATTGCGAGTGATGCTGTGTGTGATATTGCGAGTGATGCTGTGTGTGATATTGTGAGTGATGCTGTGTGTGATATTGTGAGTGATGCTGTGTGTGATATTGTGAGTGATGCTGTGTGTGATATTGTGAGTGATGCTGTGTGTGATATTGCGAGTGATGCTGTGTGTGATATTGCGAGTGATGCTGTGTGTGATATTGCGAGTGATGCTGTGTGTGATATTGCGAGTGATGCTGTGTGTGATATTGTGAGTGATGCTGTGTGTGATATTGTGAGTGATGCTGGGGGTGATATTGTGAGTGATGCTGTGTGTGATATTGTGAGTGATGCTGGGGGTGATATTGTGAGTGATGCTGTGTGTGATATTGTGAGTGATGCTGGGGGTGATATTGTGAGTGATGCTGGGGGTGATATTGTGAGTGATGCTGTGAGTGATATTGTGAGTGATGCTGGGGGTGATATTGTGAGTGATGCTGGGGGTGATAATGTGAGTGATGCTGGAGGTGATATTGTGAGTGATGCTGGGGGTGATTTTGTGAGTGATGCTGTGAGTGATGCTGTGTGTGATATTGTGAGTGATGCTGTGTGTGATATTGTGAGTGATGCTGTGTGTGATATTGTGAGTGATGCTGGGGGTGATATTGTGAGTGATGCTGGGGGTGATATTGTGAGTGATGCTGTGTGTGATATTGTGAGTGATGCTGTGTGTGATATTGTGAGTGATGCTGGGGGTGATATTGTGAGTGATGCTGTGTGTGATATTGTGAGTGATGCTGTGTGTGATATTGTGAGTGATGCTGTGTGTGATATTGTGAGTGATGCTGGAGGTGATATTGTGAGTGATGCTAGGGGTGATATTGTGAGTGATGCTGTGTGTGATATTGTGAGTGATGCTGGGGGTGATATTGTGAGTGATGCTGGAGGTGATATTGTGAGTGATGCTGTGTGTGATATTGTGAGTGATGCTGGGGGTGATATTGTGAGTGATGCTGTGTGTGATATTGTGAGTGATGCTGGGGGTGATATTGTGAGTGATGCTGGAGGTGATATTGTGAGTGATGCTGGGGGTGATATTGTGAGTGATGCTGTGAGTGATATTGTGAGTGATGCTGGGGGTGATATTGTGAGTGATGCTGGGGGTGATAATGTGAGTGATGCTGGAGGTGATATTGTGAGTGATGCTGGGGGTGATTTTGTGAGTGATGCTGTGAGTGATGCTGTGTGTGATATTGTGAGTGATGCTGTGTGTGATATTGTGAGTGATGCTGTGTGTGATATTGTGAGTGATGCTGGAAGTGATATTGTGAGTGATGCTGTGTGTGATATTGTGAGTGATGCTGTGTGTGATATTGTGAGTGATGCTGTGTGTGATATTGTGAGTAAAGCTGTGTGTGATATTGTGAGTGATGCTGTGTGTGATATTGTGAGTGATGCTGGAGGTAATATTGCGAGTGATGCTGTGTGTGATATTGTGAGTAAAGCTGTGTGTGATATTGTGAGTGATGCTGGAGTGATATTGTGAGTGATGCTGTGTGTGATATTGTGAGTGATGCTGTGTGTGATATTGTGAGTGATGCTGTGTGTGATATTGTAAGTGATGCTGTGTGTGATATCGTGAGTGATGCTGGGGTGATATTGTGAGTGATGCTGGGGGTGATATTGTGAGTGATGCTGGGGGTGATATTGTGAGTGATGCTGGGGTGATATTGTAAGTGATGCTGTGTGTGATATTGTGAGTGATGCTGGGGGTGATATTGTGAGTGATGCTGTGAGTGATGCTGTGTGTGATATTGTAAGTGATGCTGTGTGTTATATTGTGAGTGATGCTGGAGGTGATATTGTAAGTGATGCTGGAGGTGATATTGCGAGTGATGCTGTGTGTGATATTGTGAGTGATGCTGGGGGTGATATTGCGAGTGATGCTGGGGGGTGATATTGTGAGTGATGCTGGGGGGTGATATTGCGAGTGATGCTGGGGGTGATAATGTGAGTGATGCTGTGTGTGATATTGTGAGTGATGCTGTGCGTGATATTGTAAGTGATGCTGTGTGTGATATTGTGAGTGATGCTGGGGTGATATTGTGAGTGATGCTGTGTGTGATATTGTGAGTGATGCTGTGTATGATATTGTAAGTGATGCTGTGTGGGATATTGTGAGTGATGCTGGGGGTGATATTGTGAGTGATGCTGTGTGTGATATTGTGAGTGATGCTGTGTGTGATATTGTGAGTGATGCTGGGAGTGCATTGTGAGTGATGCTGGGGGTGATATCGTGAGTGATGCTGGGGGTGCATTGTGAATGATGCTGGGGTGATATTGTGAGTGATGCTGGGGGTGATATTGTGAGTGATGCTGGGGGTGATATTGTGAGTGATGCTGGGGGTGCATTGTGAGTGATGCTGGGGGTGATATTGTGAGTGATGCTGGGGGTGATATTGTGAGTGATGCTGGGGGTGATATTGTGAGTGATATTGGAGTGCATTGTGAGTGATGCTGGGAGTGCATTGTGAGTGATGCTGGGAGTGCATTGTGAGTGATGCTGGGAGTGCATTGTGAGTGATGCTGGGTGTGATATTGTGAGTGATGCTGAGGGTGATATTGTGAGTGATGCTGGGGATGATATTTTAAGGCTGTTATCGGTATTGCCTCAGTGCTTGTGTTCTCCGCCAAGTAATCATTTCAACTTTGTTATCAATTGTCAATATCCTACAGTGACTTCACCTGGCTGTGAATTATTCCTTCTGTTGAGAGATCATGTGAGATGGGTTGCTGTTGTTACAACAGAGAGGTCATTATAGATGGCTGTTGTTGCAACAGAGATGCCATGTATAGATGGTTGTTGTTTCAACAAAGGTTATACATAGATCACTGTTGTTACAACACAGAAGTGCTGTATTGATGGCTGTTGTTACAACAGAGAGGTCATTATAGATGGTTGTTGTTACAACAGAGAGGTGATGTATAGATGACTGTTGTTACAACAGAGCGGTCATGTATAGAAGGCGGCTGTTACAACAGAGAGGTCATGTATAGATGACTGTTTGTACAATGAAGAGGTAATGTATAGATGACTGTTGTTACAACCGAGAGGTCATGTATAGATGGCTGTTATTGCAACATACAGGTCATGTATAGATCGCTGTTGTTACAACAGAGAGGTCATGTATAGATGACTGTTGTTACATCAGAGAGGTCGCGTATAGATGACTGTTGTTACAACAGAAGTCATTTATAGATGGTTGTTGTTACAATTGAGAGATCATGTACAGATGACTGTTGTTACAACAGAGAGACCATATATAAACACTCAGGGTTCGGGAGTCAACAATAAAAAAGTCCATGTTCAAATGTGTGGTCTAGTTCCAGCAAGCAGAACAAGATTGATAGATCACGTTATTTCTGGCACTTCCTGTTCTGAGAGCTTGATTACGGGGATGTCGTGGACGGACAAGGTTTGAACCTGTCGCGACACAAGGTTGATATCCGGAGATCTAAAGCTGGACCACACAGGCAGACGGTGTAAGAATACGGTTTCGTCGCCCATCTCATCGTCTTTCTCCTCGATGCTGTCTTGTGGGGAGATCCGTCTGGCCGAGCCGACGCTGCTCTCACTGCCCAGACTGGCACTGCGCATGCTCGGGGCGAGTCGGTCTCTGCTCGTCGCCCTTGCCTCGGTCAGCAGCATCGGCTCTGTGTGCTTCCGCTGCAGTCGATGTCTGTTAAGCCGGGGCATCGAAGTGCTTTCTGGGACGGTTGGGGAGATCTCCTGGCGGACGAACTCGTTGAAAATAGAGTTAGTTTTCTGGTCGATGCTGTAGTCCCTAGCCAAGTACTGGCTCCTGTGTCCCCGCGGGTGCGAGCGGAAAAATCTGGCGAACACGGAAATCTTATGTGGCGTTGTGGTGTCCTCACGTGTTAGCATGTCTGTTCTAAGTTCGACTGCCGGCTCCTGTATACTTTCACACACGTGCACTAGTTGTCTCTCTCGTGAGTACTCGCGCCGTTTCTTCGAGGCCGTCTTCACGTCCCGACGGGTAAAGTGAGAGGCGGCATGGACGGGTCTCCAGGTGGGGTCACACCTAACTTGCGCCGCTGTACCACTACTTCGACGCATTCCCTGATGAGGGTATGTTTTACCTGAATCACCGATGAGCCCTACAGCTCCAGGCTGCCCAAATGCATAACAGACCATATCTGCCCTCTCTAGACTGGTCCGGCGGTCTCTGCGAGCAGCTATCCCCTCACCACATTCAACACTGGCTCTAAAGTCCCACCTTGCCGCGTCGTGGTCGCCCATCTCCTTAGAACTTTGCTGCTGGGTCTCCAGCGACTTGTAGCCGCTGTCTGCTTTCATCTGCACCAGCTTGCTGGCCTGGCTCTCGTTGGTGCTGTCCGTGTTGTCCGTGGTCGTGGACGACTCGAACGAGGTGGTGGTCATCTCATACCTAGACGTGTCCGAGATGTCCCCGTCCGTCTCCACGCTGTCGAAGCTGTTCTCCACGCTGGTTGACTGGTTACCCCTCTTGAAGCGGCCACCCATGACGTTCCTGTAGTTCTGCCGGCGATTTTCGTAGTTGGGATGGAGGAAATTCACGTGGTTGAGAGGTCTGGTTGAGCAGATCTCAAACTGAATGCCACTGTCTCGGTGGTCGCTAGGGCAGGGCTCACTCTGGGCGTTGGATTCGAACGAGGTTGTGTTTGGTGTCACGTGCTCGCGTTCAAAAGAATCATCAGGCGACGTGAGGTCCTCCATTCTGACCGTGTCACTGCATTCCTCTTCCTCTTCTAGAGTTGCTCTCAGCCTCCACAAGGCTCGATACTTCCTGTTGCCATTCAGCGTCTCGGCGCTGTCCTCGGTATCTTCTGAATGATCCTGGTCTCGCCTGTCGTCCAGGGCTGCCTGCTCTCGGCTGTCCTCCATCTTTATCAAAGCGTCGAACTCAAGACCACAAGCAAAAGGAGCACTGTCTTCGTTAAGTTGCTCCAGACTTCCGGTGTCATTGTACCTGACCTTGGAACTAGTGGGCGACGCTAACTCTGAAATGATGTCGTAGTCGGTGTTGTAGAAGGGACCCTTAGAGAACTCGGTGATTTTGAGCACATCATAATCTTCTAGACAGTCGTCATGACTTCTGACCTGTCTGCTATCTTTGTACGAACTTTGCCGTGGAGACTCCAAGCTGTGGGAGTTGGCGGGTCGAGCAAAGCCTTGTCGTTGGGACAAGTGGTTACTCTGCGAGGAGAAAGCCTGAGAATAGGTCCTGTCCAGTCGTCCCAGAAGTCTTTGATGCAGCTCCTCGGAGCTATTGTTGCTATAGTTACCGCCATCGCGGTTGTGAGCCTGCTGGTGTACTTCCACGGAAACTTGAGTTCGGATAGGTCTGTGTATTGTGAATGCTGATCTCCCACCTTCTCTGATTGGCTTGAAATGTGAAAGTGTTGACAATGATGTGTCGTCTCCGCGGCGAGAGTGCGAGGAAAGTAAACATGGAGGGAAGTCAGATATGGGTCTAATAGATGGCAACGATGACGATGTGGTGTCCTGCTTCAGTGAGGACAAAGTTGAGGACAT